TGAAGTTAATCTTGACTCTGAACTGTTCTCGCGCTATATATATGAACTTGAATGAAGATTCCTATCATCTTGCGATAAAAATCATCTGTTAAACTACTCTCTCAGTGCTTCATGCTTTCAACAGTGTTTATCAAGGACTCTCGTTGCTCAGATCAAAATTTGTGACAGAGAATCTAGAAAATAACCGGGAGATAACTTTAAGCAAAACTCAGTAATAAGTTGCCCGTTAGAAGTACTGCTTATTTATTTACGACCATCAAGCACATGCTGAATTCTAAATCATAAGAACTTAAAGCTAAAAGTGTGGCAAACGAACATTCTTATTAAAAGGTTTTTCGAAGCAGTAGATGTTGCCTAGTACGTAGACTTCGCTTAAAAAAGTAATATGCAAGTTTTCAGCTTATTCAGTTTACACATTTATTTTAAGGATAAATTGGGCTGGGTTGACAAACTGATATTTGAGGACTTATAGAAATGTATTTTTTTTCTGAGACAATTTTAAATAATTTATTAAGTTTGTTTTGTCTGAACTTTATGGACAGAGTGAAATTATATATAACTGCCTTAATTTATGGGACGCGTTGTTATTCTTTTTATGACGCAAACACCCTCCTTTTCCGGCATTTGTTGTTGAATAATTCCGTTACTTTTCTTTATTGCTTTTTATCCCCATTTAAACCAGCTTTTGCTGCATGAACTAGACATCGCTATTGAAATATTGTTAAAAGATAATAAAACAGAAAGATTTAAATTTCGAATCCTTCTCAATAACATAAATAGATGATGGCCTTTCTTAACGAAAAAAATCTCCTTTCTGAGTTACCAGAGCCTCTGTTTTAAACCGAGGTTCTTTACGAAGCCATTGATATGAAAATATTATTTTTATCCTTAAGCAAATGAAACCATCATCACAAGAAAGGTTTTGCACCTACCCTCGTTTTGAAAATGAGGGTTTTTACTGTGAGCCCCTTGACCTTTTAAGGAGACTGGGTCGATATTGTGTCGAATTGCACTATGGGGCTGTTTTGGCTTTTACGAGGAAACTGGGCGAAATTTGTTCCCAAAACAATTTCATGGTGCAATTCGACACAACACCAACCCCTAATGGCCAACTACATTCAAATACATGCATACTTTTTACCCACCAGGCCCCGGTTGTTCAAAAGTTGGATAACTCTATCCACCGGATAAATCGCTCTCCAGAGGATAGGTATAACGAGAATCTGTTGCGCTATCCTTTGGATAGTAATTTATCCATTGGATAGCGCTATCCACCTTTCGAACAACTGGGGCCAGGAAGTAGCAAAGTGGACATGAATTTTGCCTCCGCTAATACCTCTTAGCAATATTTACTACAATTATTTTCCCTCGCTTATGTAATACTTGCATGTCAAGTCAAGAGTCAAGTCAAGTTTATTGTGTAAAATACACGCTTAGCTATTTGTGAGAAAATTCACAAGCTAGTTTACAGGTATTACATATTAAAATCAGAAATTAAAAAATGAATAGATAATTATTATTAAAATATATATAAAATAACTAATTAAAAAGATAAAATGTAAAAACTATTTACATGAGACTAGAAAATTTTACGAATAGGATAAAGCTAAAACTATTTACAATGCGAGACTAATAGTAGGAGTAATAAATTATAATTAGTAATAGTTATTGATAATTATGTTTTCCCGCGCTTTCTACCAGTTGCAAGTTTTCGCGCTAGATGAATGATTTCCTATAAACGAAGGTACCCAGTCACTGGTTATTTTATTTTGGGAACTGCTCAGTTTCGCCGTAAAATAACATATAATAATACAAAAAGTAAAACAGGGTGGGGGCGACTAAGTAAGGACTTGTGTTCATTGTTATTACACCTGTTACAAAATTAAGATTTAAACTACCCGAATATCTTTATTGGTTTGTGTTACTTTCATAGAAAAGGGTGAAAATGAAGGTGACCAGTACACACCAATGCTCAATGACATGATTACTGTAACTCCAGCGTTTCTAGGTAAGTTAGTGATCACGTTAAAACGTTATGATTCGTCTATTGTCATTTCACTAGCCTGTTCCAGGCTCCAGGATAGCAGCCGGGAAAGCGGATCGAAAATTAAGTTGCGCGAAAACCGCATGGGGTGAGGGGGACTGGGAGGGACGGGGAAATGGAGCTTCTGGTATACCCATTCTCTCTTGGTATACCCTATGATTCGTCAATTTTGTCAGGTTACGTCAACACGTACAGTAAAAATCCACGAGTAAGAACCCAACATTTAAGAACCTGTTAGGCTAAAATTTGCAATTTAGGCCCCCTCTATATAAGAACCTCTTTTGCCTAAAATTTGGAGAAAGGTCCTTATTTTCAAGTTAGTACATATATAAATGTTGTTTGATTGAGGTCATTGAGAAAATGTTTATAATATTGTGTTTTACAGCACAATCATGTATATAAAGTTGTTTTGACTCAAGAAATTAAAATTCATGTGAGAATAGATCTCTATTATGGTCATATTAAAATATAAGCAATCATTAGGTATGCAAATTTAAGGGTGCTGATCACTAAAATCTTCTTAGCAACGACATAATTTTTTGCAAGAAATTAAGAACCTATTAAGAACCTAGAAAGCCTAAATTTATGTTAACCACCATTTATGTAAGAACCTGTTTAGGCTAACCCTGGAAAATGTAGTTTCTTACTCGTGGGTTTACCTGTTTGTCAAACATTTGGCTTCATGCGCGCCTAGGCAATCAAACATGGCGAGCAGTGAAACCTTCCTTCACCGCACATTTTGCCTCGAGAAACGGTTTCCGGTTCCTGGCTCCCGGCTACCGTCTCTGTTTTCTTAGTTTCCACCCTTCTCCTCCTTTTTCTTCCTCTTCCAGCCCTTTTAGAACTCTCACCTTCCGCCATTTCCTCCTCCGCCTTCCATACCTCTGCTGCCCCTATTCACCCAGACTCCCAAAACCTCCGTCCTCCCCCCCCCTCCCCCCAAAAACGTCCTGTTTTAAATTGTAGACTACGTTTCCTCCTGGAGTTAGCACAAAAAGAATTTTTCGTCTAAACGCGCTTAATTTGACTTACACATTCATTTAAATACTTTTTTCTCAGAGCGTCTTTCTAGATGCGAGAATGACAGTTTAAACTCTAAACACTCCGCCATGAAACCTCCTCGTGTGGGCAGTGGCTCATTACAAAGAAGACAGACTGGGATCAAGGCAAAAGCTGCCGGTTCCATGTCGAGTTCTGCTGCCAGGAATAAGACATCGAGAGAGAAAACGCCAGGACAGAAGCGAAATAGAGAAAGTAGATGATGACTCGCACAAAGAAATAGGGTATAAAGTAGATTTACTATTGATGTTAGAAAAATAGCTTGCCAACGTAGACGTAATTTCGGTTGTCGTTTCTCTTCTCTTGAGGCAAAGATCCAGATAAGTGGCAAGCGAAAATGGGTCTGCGTCAGCAAATCGCTGATGTCGGCTTTATTAAGGTTGAGCCTGGGACTTGATCGGTGTTGTGTCTAATTACACCAGGGACTGTTTTGGGGACGTTATCACCTCTTTCATTGGCTATTACGAGGTCGCAAAGGAATCTGGGTCAAAATTTGTCTCCCAAAATATTCCCAAAATGCAAGTCGACACAACATCGACCCAGTCTCCGAGTCAAACGCAACGTAAAAATGGCCATGACGTGATGACGTGAAGACGTGACGTCATTTTGACACCACGGCCAGAATCCATCACGGTTTTATTATCTTGTGCAAATTAGGGCTTTCGTTATTTTAACCTCGCTGGGATAACAAAATTCAAATATGAAAGAAAAAAAGACAACGAAAAGGATTAAGGTCGTAGTAGTAAAATGAGGCCATCATGCCAATAGCCAACTGCGTACAAAACATCTTTAATGACTTTCCATACAAGGGTAATAGGCCTTTATTGCTACAATCAGGGACAAAAGTAGTTGACACACTTGTTTAAAACGGGTGCTTTTAACAAACATTTAATTCATTTATTATTTCATTCTTTTTAAACACCGTAAATCCCCTCACCCCCGAAATCAATGTTGTCTGTTGTCTGATTTTGGGGGGAAGGGGTTGGGGTAGACAGGGGAAGGGGTTTATTTATATCCACTATGCAAAAAGGGGCCATTTTACGGAAGTGTGTCAACACTTTTGTCCCTCATTGTAGCCATTTGCGTGGTACAAAACCGCCGTACTTGAAGCATTAGACGAGCTCGGAGAAGACAAACAAAAGCTTGTATAATTTTAAAGTGGTGTCTTTCTTTATTTGTCTTGTCCCAGTGCGTCACTTGATCTCCGGCATGCACCTTGTGTTGTCAAAAATGACAAACTGTCGGTAATAGTATTATTTTCTGCCTCAGCTGTAACGGCAGAGTTCAACAGAACTTTTACTTTGAAGATAAAAGAATTAATTATTTTGCACCAGTTTGGAATAATGTCTAAATTATCTGCGATCAGGCGGTCCTCCTTCCCTCTTTGTTTTGGAGGCGAGGGAAAAGGACAAAACGAAAAAAGAGTGCCTGATCACAAAAAGGAACCCGTGAACACAGAGACAATGAGCTGTTAGCTTGATTTGTACACTACTTCGAAACAACATCGAGCACTGTGGATCATTGAATGAAACTTTACTTAACTACAAGACTGTCTAAGTACATTAGATAGATCTTTGTACTTTTATATTTATAATAATTTATTTCAGTTGTTGTATTAAGGTATACATGTATTTCATTGTCTTGATTTTTCTCTGGCTTCCAATAATATTGAAGGAAACCGAAAACAAACGGCTGGATCCTCCTACAGAGAAGTATGTTTGAACTGAAACCGAACTCTTTGCCCCACCCCAGACCCCTTCATGATAGCAATAACTCAAAACTGGTGAACTTAAAAAAATATATTACGAATAGATGTAAATTGTAACAGTATTCTTGGCTAATATTGCGCGATATTCACTTCGCACCTGGCGTATAACTGTAAGCTACTATAACATCATCACGCAGATAAATAAACAATCCAGTAACAGATGTTAAATAGAAGATACGAAACAGGAAATACAATTCTTGCATATTTATCTACAACGTTAATGCCTTGAAAGTTATGAACAAAATCCCCGTCTTCATCGTCGAGTAGCTGTTGAGAAGAATGTCTCTGCCGAGGGTAGGCGCGGTCGCGGTCTCCATCCACGCTGTTTTCCATCTCTGAATGTTCAAAACCACCGTTCGCGTGTCCGGTTTTGTTCCTCGTAAGCTTTCGAAGATCAGAATTGTCTTCCTGAAAAATATGAAAGCAGGCGAGAACTTGTTAATAGAAATGGCGTAGTGGCGAAAGCGCTACGATGCAGGCTAAGTTTGACAGGGTGGAGTTTCACTCACCCGTTGTTTGTCGGTGCTGCCATATCGAGTCCCCGAGAGCGGAAAATCTTCAGGATCATCTTTCAGGCCTTTCACCTTTCGAAGGATGTCGGTCCCCTTTCTTGTCAGCTTCTTGGCTTGAGAAGTGACGAAAGTGGAACTCGGATACTCCACCAAGGCGGCGAACACGTAGAGGAAGGAGACACAGAGAAACCAGTCAATAGCCTTGACATAGCTCACCTTCGGCATCGACGATTGAAGTCCGAAAATTAGAGTCGTCAGGGCCAGGACTGTCGTGATTCCGAGAGCGACCCGAGCGGGAGGCGAGCTACGTGGAATCCAAAAGGACACCCAGCTTAGAATGGTGATAAGGATTGTGGGAATGTATATCGAAACGACGTAGTAAAACTTCTTTCGTCTGATGTGGAAAGTTAATTTCAGCATAGAGAAAGTTCCTGGAATAGAAATGAAAAGGTAGAGTACATCCATTCTGATAGCCGTAGGACTTTTCGTCATCAGCTAAATTGAATAATATGTTTAGCTTCTCTTAGCAGGAAAGCTACGTGCTACAACCTCGGTCATTATTTGTGAGTGAAACACTTCCGGAAAAATTAAGATGAACTATATGTCGTTCCACCAAATTGTACACTTATTGTTTCCCTCTTCTTCCTCAATGTTGGTTTCACGGGTTTCGTTGAGCATAACGTCTTGGAAATCAACATTGAATGGGGTAGGGCAGGAGAAATTTAAAAGCGTTTCAACAATTATGACCAGGAATGTAGTTACTAATCCGCAGAGGGCCCCCTTAATATCATAGGATGTTTCCTTCCCATAATGCATCGTGTTCCATGCTTATTCTCAATCCTATAATTTCCAATACCTGACTGGCGAAGGGAAAAGAGAAACGAAAACCCTCAAAAAAAGCCGGAAAGTACCTGTGACGTAGGAGGCGGATATTTCCTGAACGCTAAAATCATCCACTGCAAACTGTGACATGATAAGCTCTTCTCCTATCGATACAGCTGACTTCATGTCCCTGCTTACATTTTCCCACTTGAAATATAAGTCAGCTGTCGTCATACCATCTGAAACAGAAGGCAGTCATTGTTTATGTGATGTTTAAAGCATGAACAGCCGTGTTTTGTCAATGGTTAAAAATTCGAGCGTGGAACGCTTTAATGAAATTGCACACTGGGCTAGTGGTTGGGGTTGTTTTGGTCTAAAAGATTGGACGTAAAGTTCAGCCGTGCCTACATCAGATATAAAGACACTCATTAAACATTAATTTATAGCAATTAGTGAATGAGGCTGAGTAGGAAATGAAGAATTCTACTGATCGAGGAAGGTGTGCCTACAATAAACGAATTCCCGGTGTTAGTCATTCTCTAGTTACAAGATTATTTAGTATTGTTTTTCTACTTACAACTCTCAAAAAGTAGACTACAGTTTTGTTTATCCATGGGATAATTCCGTAGATCCATTTTGCAAGCAGCAATCACAGTCAATCTACAAACAAACAACATTACTTAAATCTCATTCGACAATGGGGAGCTTAAGCAACAACGTGAAGGCTACCAAAACTTCGCTTAGAAAGTGAATTTGCGCTACTTTAATTTTTATCGCGTTCATACCAACTCGTTGAATTCGTCCAATATTGGGAAGTTAAATTGCCAACATTTGACAAATTCTAAAATACTGTATCAAAATTTCGGGCAAAGAAAAAGAAAGTCGTTGTCTTGCTTTCACGTCCTCGATAAAACGTAAAATTAGACACTTTCACGTTGTGGTTGCGCGGCGACGGAAAACAAAATGTACAAAAAAGCGTGATACACGCGCAAAGTTGTTGCGAGTGCCAGACGAAAGAGTTATTATTGAAATATATCGTCATCGGATGGTATCAGCTTTGGATCGGATATTACCTAGTCCCTAGGCCTCATTATTCCACAGAGCCTATTCGTTTCGGCTCACGTGATCCGAGTTTGGGTCGGCTACATCAAAGTCATGGCTTGACCGAGAGGGGCTGGGAAGACCGCGTACAGGGTCTAGGCAAGAGCTATACTAATGACTTTGTGGCAGGTTACTCTCAGAGAAGAAGGTGAAGAAGGTCTACCAGAGCATATTAGGGTGACGCTCATTAAGCGGGATGGAGAAGCAAAAAGACTGTCAAGATATGTGTTAGACTGGGTACGAGGGAGACTATATGATAACCTTACATGGAAAATGCCGTCTCTTCCCTGAGACTAAATTTCTAGGGAGAAGTAGATTGGTTAGGCTGCGTGCAAACGGACGCAACATTGTTGACCAACAACTCCCAACATTGTTGGATGTGCAAACGGACGCAACATTGTTGGCTGACAACTCCCGACAAAGTTGGGAGTTTTTGCGCCCGTTTGCACTTAGCCTTAAACTTGAAGTTAATCTAAATTTTAATTTAGCCTAAATGGCCACTAGTTTCATATTCTTTTGTCCATATTCAAATGAGCCTTACTATCCTTGTTCTTGGGGTCAGAGTTCAAAAGAGTTATACCTTTCCTCATTTTTGTGAGACTAATTCCAATTTAAACAAACAAATACCAATCCAGCGGACATTTTTGCGTTGGTTGTATAAGTTAACAGATTACCGTTGACTGTAAATAATCCTGCCATCAGGAAAAATTGTGAGAAGGAACTCCTGTTCAGGAGCCACTTTGGATTTTTCGTTGTTGACGTACGTGTCTGGGATCCAGATTTGTTTCATTATGTCTCCATTAAGCGTCAAATTTCTCTTGGAGTAAAACTGATCATATCGAAGACGTGAATCATGCCACAACTGCCTCATGAAGAATGTGCTCTCAAATTGCTTTAATGAGACATGTAAGGAACAAATTTAGTACAAATCAAAACGAGAGAGCAGTAATGATACAAGAAAACCTGAAAAAACCCAGTGTATTGTTCACTCGATAAGAAGGACTAATCAAGCTTATCTCTACTCGCTTTCCAAAGTCAAACTTATCCCTGAAATAATCCTAATCTTATCCTAATCTTTTGACCTAATTCTAAAAACTTAAAGATTAGTTGACAGTTTTTTTACTATTGTTTCTGTTGACAAAACTGCAAAAAATAATAATAATAATAATAATAATAATAATGTGACGAGCGTTTTCACATGGAAAAGAATGTAAATCCTGTGAAAAGAATCCTAAAGTGTGACCATTCTATCGAAGAGTCGTTGCTGGTTAACAGCGCAGCGTGCGAAAAACCATGTGTTCTTCGCACTTATGAGACCGGTAAAACGTCGGCTCGATTAATGGAAGCGCGCGGCCTTTGAAAGAGAATTGTAGAGCTAGTTTAAAATGGTATTTTGTCTCTCCTGCGCGCGTGCGCTCGCGTTAACTGCGCTTCGCGCTTAGCGACAGCTTTGAAGTCAAAGCGCATGCCGGATGGTGTCACTGCACTTTTTGGACGCTCAGTAAAGTGAGTCGTTTCTTACCATTTCCCTTTCATCAAGTCCACCTAGCGAAGTTACGAACAAAGTCACTAAAACTTTCACAGCTTTTCCTGTGAAACAAAAACGAGTGCTTATTAAGGTCCGGTTCAGACGCCAAACTTTTCATGTACTTAATTCAGTCAAGAGCCATTAATTCAATGTATTATCACCCCATGTAAGTGAATCCAAGACAGTCTTGGATTCTATATTCCACGCAATGGATTCCGGATTTCAGTCTTACTCAGTGGAAGTGGATTCTGGATTACAATCGTTAGTGGGATTCCGGATTCCCAGCGATGGATTCCAGATTCCAAAGCTCGTAATTCCGGATTCCGCAAGCAAAATTTTTTGGGGATTCCAGATGTTACAAGCAAAAATTTTCCGCATTCCGGAATCCGAATTCCCTTTCATGGGGCGAGTATTAAGTTCGGCTCATGAAAAGTTTGGCGTCTCAGCCGGGCCAAAATCATTCGAAAACAACAAGTTATATAAATCTAAAACAACCATAGCCTATTCACGTGGGCTGCATGCAGAGGGTGGAGTCGGTGTCCATGTGAAAATATAAGTTAAGCACGGTGGCTGAAGGCGTCTTCTCGTAGGCATTCAGTCAAAATTTATTAATCTAAAATCAAATGTGTTATTAATACTTACCTTCTGTGGCCTTTTAAACAATTTCTCGGGGCGTGTGAGATATTTTGTTCCCAGTATCTCAGAAAAAGAAAACCCTTTTAAGTCTTGAACTGAGAAATAGGTTAGGAGGTGCTCTTTTGATCACGTATAGGTGAAATAGTTGAAGCAGTAAATAATATAATTTTATATTAATAGTTATAATATGTTCCAAGACCCCGATCGCACTAGTATGCCAAGTATGCATTGAGTACACCATTTGCGCAAATGAAAGGCCTTTTTTTTTCCGCACCAAGTTAGCAAGATAGTAGTCGTCACGCGTCACACAACGCTCCTCCGCACAAGAAGCGTTGCGTGAAGACACAAAGAACGCTGCGAAGCGACTAGCAAGATGGAAGAGTGATATGCTTATCCAGGCGGTCAGAGTTGAGGCGATGTTACACGGGACCATTCGCAACGACGATTTTTTGCGCAACACAGAGTAGCAATGTCGGAACAATGTTGCAACCATTCGAAACAATGTCGCAATAATGTTGCAATGATGTGTTGCGTTAAAAATCGTCGTTGCAAATCGCCCCGTGTAACATCACCTTTAAGCACTGAAAGATGTCCATACCCTCATATCCAGGCCTAAACCGTTTGTCATAATTGTTAGGATCGAGGAGCATGCGCAGAACTTGCGATGCATTCTTCCCGCTCCAGTCTCCCTCGGATGAGCTTTGGAGAACAACAACAATCAAGATAAAAATACAAAAAGATCAGTTACATGGGACCTGGCATTGCATTGTCCGTTAAGGTGGCTTGGGAAACGTATCCTCATTATGATAAGATTTTACTTTGCACTTCTTCAAATGTTATTGATCAATGGCCGGAAGATATGCCAAACACTCAAAAGAGTTTTGCATCCGACAATAAAAAACAACATTTCAAAGTTCTAGCTCGATGAGGAATATGGTTGACGGAGACACATTTTGTGAACTTACCACCACAATCATCATATTCACTAAGATACTTCAAAGTAGCTTAAAAACTTCTTCTTGTAAGCCACAAGCACTTTTGATGTTTAATATTATGAAATACGTCTTCGCAAAGTGTCATAAAAAATTGTTTGACCGTATGCGATTCTTTTATACATGTTCGCAAGAGATTGTTAATTCATTCACGCATTTCCACTGCAGACCGCCACGAGTAAAATTTGCAGCGCTGATCGAGAAACTGCCTCTCCATTACATTCAGCTGTGGGATACCACGCAAACTTGATGGCGTGCAGAGAAAAAACATGGAAATCAAAATTTGAATTGAATTTAGTTTCTTGGCTGGCATTCACTGAATTACGCTCTTAAAGACAGGTTGAGGGACATCATGACATGGAAAATAGAATAGAATAATTCACTCTCAAATCAATTGAAAGATTTTCTTCTAGTTTATCAAAATCTTACAAAGCAAATCACTTTACCCTTTACGAAAATATAGAAAACTGTCATCGATACATTCGCTAGATTTGCCGATATCACTAACAGAGGTAAACGACTGCTCTGAAAGTTTAATACTAAATTAATGTTAAGACGCTTAAACGCTATTAAATTTTTAAAATCATTGATCCATATTTAGCGATTTATACTGAATCATTTTGGCAGATAGTCAGTTAAATATACACTTGTAGCGTGAGTAATAGCAAATCTTCCATAAAGCCAAGTTAAGTTGCTTAGTTGTTTAGTTGCGCTTTCGTGTAGAAAATCTTTTACCTTAATCCAGGCTCCTGTAAAGAATAACCAAGTACGGCCAGTAGGGCAAAGGAGACTAAAACACAAATCCGCGGCAACATTTACGTTTTCTACGCTAATAATAAAACACGCAAGCCTGTCTTATCCATAACAAAGGGAATCCTGGAAATAAAAAGACGAAAACAACTTATTAAATTGTATATTTCTCGTCTTGATAACCTTTACAAATTTGTCAAATGGAAAAGGTTAGATTTACTTAATTTGAACTCTTATAAAACGACCGTAAATTAGCCAGGAATCTCCCCCCAACTCGTGATTGAAAACGGACGTGAATTGAATTTTTAAGCAATTTGTTTGCGAATATCGTAACATTCAAACACACCTGCCTCCGTACTTGAAACACGATTTATATTCTGAGGTAGCCTATGGTCGAGAACATGTTTATCAGCAATGTGACAAAGATTCCTGCCTGTTTATATTCTCACAGACTATAATTACGTTTTCAAAAACCTATTATTTGTATGTTTTAATATAAGTGAAAATTACACGGATTCAGACCATGGGATATCGTACGTTTTTGTAAAATGTTTCCCTCGCCCATCGTTACTACGAGAACCTCTTTTTATACACATGTAAACAATAAACTTCCGTCGCAGGTAGCCAAAGAAAATTAATCGACTCACCAAGTAAAGCCAAAACGGCGTTTTGCATTGCAAATTTGAAAGTTTTCTATTTATCTCTTATTTTTTGTTAACATAAGTAAATGCATTGTTGAATATGACAGCTTTTAGATAGGGCGTTATTTCACCCTACCGTAAAAACTTTAACGTTCAAGTCTATGCCAATATTTGTAGTTCCTATGTTCACTTGTCATTTTTTAATCATTTTAGGCATAATCTTTTTAAAACTTGACCTCTCATGTCGTATTAGAAGTAATAAAAAATATAACTTTTCCTAAGAAGCCAGGAAAAGATTGATGATGTTGTTTATGTACCTTGGGGTTATAAGCTCAATCTACGGAGTAAAGTGAGTCTTTTATATTATCTAGGGTGATAAAAACATGGTTAAATAGTGAAAAACGCCTTTTTAGAAAAACCTATTGCCTTCATAGTTTATCCTTTGAAAGATAAGTTCGTAAGAGATTTTTCCAACAGCTGCGCAGTGAAAGACACAGAAAATGTGACCCATGCTGGTTAAAAATTGACATTTAAACTGCAAAGGACAGCAAACGAATATGCCGCAGAACGTAGGATCTATAGAAGACCCGATCAGCAAAAATATACAAAGGAGACACCTTGAATTCTGCAAAGCTGGTCGTATTACATGAAAATTAACTTTGCAAGACATCAACACGACATCGAAAGAACCCAAAACATTGCGGGGTTGCCGCCGTAGACAGCTGTTTCGCCATTCTGCCTGAAGGCAGTGCGGAAGGTCGAATCTTTCAACAGTTAAGAATATTTCAAGTACCAATTTTAAGGCATTTCGGGCTAATTATTTTAAGTTTCATGATCAATGTTAAGGGAATAACAGGGCTATAAAGTGAAGAAAAAGTTCAGGCCGGCAAAGAGATTTTTCAAATATCGATCTCGACTTGGTAGTTCGTTAAGTTATTGATATCCTTTATATATAGTTTCAGCGTTAACGAGAAGACTAAGCTATTAAGGTTTTACACAGATAACATTCATGTCACTCTTGAACAGTCAAGAATGAAATTGTTTTCTCGAGCCCCGATCCGTTGTTCTTACCATCCAGGGCAGTGGCTGTTTTTCTTTAAACACCATAAAATAGTTTCATCTCGTTCCGCTGTCAACCGCACTGAATCAGGACGAATGCCGGTTAACTTGCATTTACTGAAAAACAGCAGAGATATTAAAACGTTTTAGCTATACCGTCATTAGTATGAATAGAAGCGCCAGGCTCAAATTCACTATCAGTGTTTTACAAACCAAATGGGCTCAGTTTCCCACCAAATATCAACGCCTGAGTTAGAACCTGATGATTGCTAGGGTTCTCCAAGCAACCTTGATCCTAGAATCTAGGTATTTCAAGATGTAAATTCGAATAAAAAGTCTTTAAAAACGTAGTACTTAGTTGTAAGTACTTCAGATACAAATAAACTAAGTGTTTAGGCGCGGTTCGTGGACAATATAAGTATGTTTAACAATGTATTACCATCCAAAACTGTCAATGAAAAACCCTAATTGAAATCCATAAAGAAACACTGCAGAAACTTGTGGCTAACCACGAATCATTTTAAAAAGCGAAGTCGACAAAACACTTTTATATTTGTGCTAATGGCTATTAACTTTTTCCCCTAAATTGCAGCTTTATTAGTTTTATTATCAATGAAAAGTGTTTAGTTACCACTCACTAAACATTTCTTTCAGCTCCTTTCGCATTCTTTATTCCTTGATATAACCTGAGTTATTTTAAAAATGTAATTTTGGGGGTACCTAATATTCAGGACGCTCCGTGATCTTAAATGGTCGCAAAATTAAATAACCGCGAAACAAAAAAGGCTTCTAAAACAACACGAGTTTTCATTGACCCTACTCCGCAGTGGTTCAAGTTTCACAGTCGCAATTAGTTCGGCATATCGTAAACTCCCGCTTATAATTAATTTCCGGGCTTAGACATCTTAGCAATGGGTTTTAGGAGGGTTTACGAACGGAGAGGGGGTTGTAACCGGAACAGAGAAAGCGCTTTAAAACAGTTCAGTGCTGATCAAAATACATTCTGCATTGATGGGTTTTTCTTAAGGTTCAAAACGTCATAATAAATCGTTTTTTTTTAATGAATATGGAGAGGGCTTTTATCCGGGGGACTCATATCTGGGGGGCTTATATCCTAGGGGTATAACGGGGGGGGGCTTATATCCTGGCGGGACTTATATCCGGGGGCCTTATATCCTGTGTGGCTTATAATCGAATGTATGTTTTTGTTTAAAAATAGATGGGTTCCTAACCGATGGGGCGCATATAGCTGAGGGGGCTGGCTGAAGCGGGAGTTTACGGTAAACGATCGAATACATAGCCTGCAAAGTAGGCGTATTTTGCAGCGCGATCCATGCTTTTTTTTTAAGGAACAACGCTATCCCGCCATCTTGGTCGTCAATACTGCTAGAGCATTAGGGCGAGTCAAAAACTGATTTAAAGGGAGAGGTGATCAATGTACCCCTGAGTCAACCCTGGGAAAGAGGTTGCCTCTGAGTTTCCGTTAAAAAACGCCTGCTCTGCAGGCTATCTTATACATTGAGACCGAAAAGAATAAATCAGTGTAATTTTGTTTCCTCGATCTAAGTATATTAAATCAAATTATAAATGATCTTTTAATGCTAGCTTCCTTGCAGTGGCCTCTGCCCCATTGAAGGTCATAAAATTAAAAATTGGTTTAAAATTTTTTTTTGCAAGCCGATAGCTCTTCGGGGCAACGTTCTTTTAAGTTTTCGTTTTCAGGTCTTCAAAACACCTTAACGGCTACGTGTGAACAATTTACGAAGTAATAAGACTAGTATTGACTTTTGTATGGTATCAGCTTTTTAAATAGCTAAGGAGACTCTAAGGCAATTGTAAGCTATGTAAATTCAGTTTTCATCTTCTGTCAACTTGAGCCAGAACATAGTTTTATTTGTTTAAACTGTCTCGTATCCCGGAAATCTAAAACAGTTCAATAACTCAGGTTTCATCTTCTGTCCAATTGAGCCACAACATTGTTTTATTTGTTTAAACCACCTCGTATCCCGGAAATCTGTAGCACTTGAATAACTAGTAAAGTAGCACTTAATACAACACGTCCTTTCATACTTTTTATTCGTATCAGTTATCTGGCACTATCAAAGCCATGCACGCCAATTATACAGTTACCGGAATATATGAATATTTTAGACGTCTGGACTGGATACTGAACAAGTTCTTAGTTGCAAATGTATCGAAAAGAAAACGACAGTCTCAAAAAGCAGAATAACACTGTACTCAGTACTACTGGTAGTAGTAGTCTATTACTATTACTACTACCATTTCTATTACTATTACTATTACTATTACTATTATGATAATATTATTTTTATTATTTACTTTTTTGTTATCTGAGCGATAAACACAATGGCAACTGAATCGCAAAACTGAGCAGAATTTCCCTTGCTAATAGATATCTATAACTAATCTATGCTCGATTTTTACATGAGTTCTCGACGCTTTTTTATCTTCGTTTCTGTTGAGTTATTTCATTTGCCGTACTCATATTTCGAAAATCGTGTAGTCAGCATTTTTAAAGAAAACTTGACAAGCAGCGGTTGAATCATTGCGAATTATATGATTTAAAAATCTTTTAGCTATCTGAAAAAGAAGGCCACGATGGTTTACTAAATTATAGGGTAAAATTATGAATTATTGTGCTGATAGAAGGTACTTAGTTCTCAGGTGAAGTCGTATCGACCTGCGGATAAGAGTTGTCAGGCAGAGATTTATGAACTTTTGAAACAATGAATTTATTGATTCTAATTAAAAACTTGTAGTTATTTCTGTATTATTTATTACTCAATATTTTGTAGTAGTCTATGTCACTTAGGTCTGTGAAGGATATGAGGTGATTTTCTTGTATTACCAAAAACTAATATCGTTTAACTTTTTCTACAACCTAAATCTAGCATTAAAAAAAAATAAATGTGTAAAAAAAAAAAAAGGTAAATAAGTAATAAATCGAGAAACTGAACTGAATATATATATTGTATTACAATCCCTTACCTTTTATTATCTCAGTCTGTACAACAGATTTATGAGTTTATCCCAGATTTAAAGAGGAAGATTTTTTGTA